CAAATCCCTCCAAATTATCTAAATTTTCATTTTCATTTTTTATTTAAATTAACAGAGGAATATAGAAGTAATCGATTTAATCCTTCTATATATATTTTTTTTATAAGGATCATCTATATTATTACATGATTTTTCTAAATTGATGATGATGACACCCTTCCTTCTACTAATAATCAAATTTAATAGATTAGTAAAAACATTATGAAAAAATATATATACAGAATATAATTAATATAATTAATTTGACTCAAAATTAATTAGTTTAACAATCTTGAAATCCGTTTATTACTTCCTATTCTTAATTCAAAAATGTTTTTACGTACCAAAATTTTTACACATATTTAATCAAAAACAAAAATATACTGCCTAATATATAGGCCAAATTAAAAAAAATTCTCTATATAAATCACAATTCAATTTGTCACTCGCCAATTCTAAATTTTGTGTGTGTTAATATATCACGTTTAAACTAATTTTTTACCATATGTAATATTTTGATGTAAATAATGTACGATATATTTTTTTTTGTAATAAAAAATCTATTATCGTTTGTCACATCATGGAGGCCAAGCAATGTTATGTATTTTCGCTCTTACTTGCAATTCATATATATTATTTTTTACAAATATAATGCTTATATCCAAATTAAATTCCTTAACGAATGCATCAAACCTTCATGACTGAATTTTCCACGATGGACTTTTTTAAATTTAGAAGAGATAACAGCGCCTACATAGGTAAATTACTTCAATAAAAGCAAGATTTCAGCTATGAAAAGGCCGCTTTAAAGTTTTCATGACAAAGGGTTTAACAAGATTTTAGCAATCTGTATGGAAGCAGACCTCCCGATCTCCATCGCTATTCTTGGCAAATTCAAGCTTCAACATCCTTCGAAGACCGATAATGCTAAACTCTCTATTCTATACTGCCATGCAAAGCAAGAAGGAGACGTTTATGAGTTATGCGCATAGCCAGACTCAACAAAGAATGCAAATTTAGTGGCATCCAACGCATCATTAAGAAGGTCAAAATAGATACGATTAACGAGATCACGAGAATATACTATCTCTATGACCATCGAAAACAAATCGCAGGTGGTATACGAAAAACATTTGAAAACATCAAAAATGTATATGAAAGAATTCAAAAAAAACTGATTAATACGTTACTTTTTCAAAAGCGAATTCATGAAGGACACTATTTTCTTAGACCACTATATCAACACAGGGGACATACATCCGAATGATGAAAAATCGACGGCATCACCAGCATGTCCGAACCAAAATCTATAGAAGAGCTTGCCACCTTCTTGGGAATGGCCAATTTTCTAAACAACTTAGCCAACGAAGCTGATCACTGTACAAAATTGTGAACAAGGAGAAATGGTCTTAGGACGATAGTCAAAAAAAAATATTTTAGACAAATTAAAAATGCTCATTAGTCAACCACTAAAATTAAGCTTCTTTAACCCCAACCTACCTATTGCGGTGAGGAAAGGCCCATAAATTTTGCCTCGAGGTTGTTGTTAAAGGCTGAGGTCAACTACACTAACATACAGAGAGAAGCATTGGCAATAATCTTCGCCGTCAAGAGATCCCAATAATAGCTCATTTGGGGTTACAACGGACCACAAGGCCCTGATATCTATTTATCTAAAGGCTTAAAAGATAACACAGCCATGTCGATGAGATTCCAAAAATGAAACATTACAATTGGTGCTCACGATTACAAGATAGTCCACAGATCGGACAAGCTCAACGTGGTACCCGACTGTTTATCCAGATTTCTTTTAGCTGCGTACATTGAAGAGGTGCACGTGATGGAAGATGTCGAGCGAGGAGGTATGGGACTTAACGATAAAGTTCGAGAAAGTAGTTCTAGAAATTCAAAACGATAAAAAGATCACGGCGTTATTAGTGATATAAGAAAGGATACACAATAAAATTTACAGGTTCATGGAAAATATATTGAGCATAGTTAATAATTGCCTTTGCAACGAATCCAAAGTGATCATACCATTCAATATGAGAAAATCGATTCTGAGGGAATTGAATAAAGACTTGGAGGCACACAGGACAACACCATTGGATAGTGACTACATCTGGTGACCCGATATCAACACAAACATGAACAACGACACAAAGTTGTGATTCATGCAATGTTTGGGCAGACAGACCAAAAAACACAGAGGTCGCTTGGATTGCCACTAATAAGTCTTTTGAAAGAGTGCAAATCGATTACGCAGGGTCGTTTTTTCAAAAATATTGGCTGTGATAGTTGATGCTTATGGTAAATTTCCCATGATCAAATTGATGAACTTTATCACGACTGGACAGATCATCGAATTGATCCGAATCATAAGCTTATTTGGGTTGCCGTATCAAATTGTGAGAATAATGGCACAACCAGCGTTAAATTATTCGAAATGTTTTGCTAAGATCACAGGTTAAAGCACACACTGACGTTGGCATACCACCAGTAGTCTAATGAGTTGGCTGAGAGGATTATAAGGACTTTTAAAATACACACAAAAAGAAGCTTGGAGAATAATAAAGTCGACGAAAATATTTCCCTTGGAAAGGTTTTTGTTTTATTATCGAATCACACCCAATACTACAACGGGCATTCAGTCTAGTAAAATGTTTCCATACAAGACAAGAACCTCTTGGGATCTAATTAAACGTACAGAAATAAGCGACAATATATTGGCGAAAGTCATATCACCTTTTAGAACGATAAAGGTCTCAGTTAAATTATGGTTTATTATCTGGGAAAGTTGTTAAATTATTATAAAAGTCAATAGATGATTTAGTTAAATTAGTATTTTTATTTTCCTGTTTAAAATCAGTGGGTATATGTAATTTTTATACTACTATGAGGAGGAGCCTGTAGTTTAGATCCTGGATACAGATGTTGGAACTTGGCCACATTTAGTTTCCCTTATTTATAAATTTAAGTCTAAGGCTATATGCATTAGTCTTTTTGAGTCATTTAAAAATGATCCAATATTATATTTTATGCTTGTCGGCATTTATATTTTGATAGTATTTATTTAATTAATTAATTATGCTGATTAAAAGATTATTGATTTGCAAAAATTATTTGAATTTCAATTTAGACGAATAATTATAGAAATTTTTTTTTTATTTTATCCAAATACCATATTTTTTAAAAAAACATATTTTAAAAATATTTAAATTTATAATATAAAAATTTTATAAATAAAACTTTAATAACATAATAAATCAGAGTTGGGGAGGTTCTTTAAAAAAAGAATCTAGAGAGATACAGATTGTTTTAAATAAGTGAATCTTAAATAGAGATACTAATATCATATTCAAAATATCAATCTTCAATACAAGATACTTTATATATTATTTTTTATCATTATAAAATTAAATTATTATAGTCAAATATAAAATGCAATTTTTATTAATTATTGGTGAAGAACATAAAATACATATATAATTAGAATGAATATTTAAAATAATTAATAAAATATTTAATGAGAAGTTAAGTTGATTAACTCCCATTTAACCACAAATGGTATGGGCACTAATTCTCCATAAAATGTACTACTCTGCTCTGCCCTTGTAGTTATGCAATTACTACAAGGTTCAAACCATTTATTAAATATGACTATTAAAAGTCACATAATCTATTTTTTCAAACTAACTTAAGATGTATATAATTTTGGGGCGAAAATTTTAAATGTGTCTTATCCTTTTATATAAAGATAATTTATATAAATGAAAATTCTTACATTTACTATAAGTGCGAATTTTTAATATTAGATTCTGCTCCCTATTATTCCAAGCTGAAATTTTTAATTTTATTATACTTAGTTATTATTTCAAAAAAAATTTAATAAGGATAAACAAGATATCACTTTATATTTTTCCGTTTTTCTATTCAAAAGAAATTGCCTCAATCTTATGTATTCGAATGATTTCCTCTTCTTATAATTTTTATCTTTTTATAATTTTAGACGAAATAAACACTCTTAATAGAAATTTATAAATTTTCCAAGCAATTATATTCCTCTAATAAACGAGGAAAATAAAATAAAAAAATTTCAAAAATCCTTCCAAATTATCTAAATTTTGATAAAAAATCTACTTTGCCGGCAAGCGTTAAAGCTTTAAGTAAAAATTAATGTCAATCCTTTGATCAACAATAGATCGCCTTTTGCATTCTTTACGGTTTTTGGACCATGTCTATGATCTTGATCACTATCCTGACCAGAAAAATTATTTTAATGATTCTTAACATCCGATTTCGTTTTGAGGTATCAACACTAATTAAAATTTCTTTGTTTTATATAATCGATTCGTATATGGGCTAAATAAAAAAAAATTTAAATTAAATATTTATTTTCGATTAAGAAACCCTTTTCAAATAGATTATATATATTGTGTGGTAGAAGAAGGTTAAGCATCAATATAAAAAATATACGCTTCTTTAAAAATGGGACAGTTTATAATAAATTATTTTAATACGATTTATATTTTATCTGATATTTTATAACTGCTAAGTTGGGGGGTAAGGGTTGGGTAGGAGGGTTTGTTTATTGGGTATAAATATACTTAAATATTGTATTGATTTTACCTTTTATCACTTTCTAATTTTTTTTCTTTTACTTTTTCCTTCTTTATTTTGTGTGTTCACCTTGAACAATAATTTTTGGAAACATAACAAAAAATCTTGGAAGGAAACCAATTATTTTATTTCGTTTTCTTCTCCTTTTATATCGACTACAAAATAAATATAAATTGATTGATAATATAATTATTTTAAAAACATATGACATAAACAATTTTTATAATTAATCCTTATTATAATCTTTTACAAATAATAATAATATATTAAAAGAATGATTGCGCTAAATAATCAGAAAAATTATTCATCACTGAAAATGAATAAATTTACAATTTAATTTAAAAAACGAACAACTTATATTTTAACGATGAATATTTTACTATAGTATAGGTTATTCCACCTGGTTATGCATAGCTGAAATGTTATCCTTTATCATTTCAGAAATTTTGGACCTTCCACATGCATTCCATAATTTGTACATTTTATCATTACTCCATAGTTAACCCATATAAGATGTGTTGAGTTAGATTTTGTAGAAAGACCTGGGTAAAATAATAAAAAAATATTTTTTTAAATCGATACTAACCATAATTGATTTCATTAAATTCTATTAGGTCATCCTTATCGTCAAAATCATTGTCAAGATTATAAAATTTTACACTATATTTACTAATTGATTGGCCAAAATTGGAGGCATTATCCGTAACAGTAGCAATTAGTTTATTAGAAATCCCATACTCTGTAAAGACATTTTCCAACTCTGCAATTTTAATAAATAAATGTGTTCCAGACATTATTTTACATGCCAAAGCTCTTGTTAATGCTAGATAGAATATAGGGGAATCTATAGGATACCTCTGTTAGATCACCTCTGTGAATATTCGCCTTTGAAAGCGGAATGAATGATGAGCCCTACTTGTCTGCATATTATATAAATATCCTTGTTTTATTTTTAAAATGATTCCCATTTATGTCTAAATAATTAATGTGATAAGCGCATTAGTTTTATCTTGCTTGATAAATAAGTGATATAATAGCAAGTTATCCATGATGCTCCTTTACGCATGTCTTACCGCTTCATAACCATCTTCAATTCTAACATCTAATTGATTTCATAGAAGATCTGATAAATAAACTCTAATTCTTGGGCATATGATTAAAGGTTCACCATTCCTTATATTGTCAATGTTCTCCATTAATTCTTTATCCACACTTGTTTCCTTCACTATTCTTTTAAAGATTATCGGTGTGTCCTAAAAATCATCATTCTTTTCTCTATCAATATTTAATATCATATCTTCTATATTCTTCTGTGGTAATCTCGATAAACAATCTTATATTATATTAAGTTTTCCAGGTTTATGAACTATTGTAAAATCGTGTACTCCCATCGCCAAATTCCATTTTTGAAGATTCGTTGATATGGAAGTGTTGCCTTTAATCCTTTTGTAAAAATATATATGAGTGCTTTATGGTCTGTAATTATTGTAAATTTTGTTCCAATTAGATATTCTTGAAACTTTTTTATTGCGTATACTACAGACATTAGTTTGTTTCTGATTTCAATAATGCTGATGCAAAAGCAATAGGTTTTTCTTTTCCATCTCCTTCAATGTTAAATAAAACGGCACCTAAACCTTTTTTCGAAGCGTCTGTAGCAAACACTCTTCTTTTAAAATACATGATCTAATTACCCAACTGACGTAACTTTCATTTTTATTCTGTACAGCTGCATTAAATAATAATAAGTTCTAACATGTAGATTTCCTCGGGTGTAATAACCTAAATTTGTGAATTAATATCGATGAATTGATGAAGTCGATAGGTGAACATAGATTTGAGCTTGATATAATCTTCTTCTGATAGTCTTCTTGTGTGAAGAATCCAGCTTTTTCGATGTTCGATATCTGAGCCTCCTTAATATATCTCCGAATTTACTTAAAAAAAGATTACCATTACCTGAGTATATCGGAAATTTAATACTTATACTAATATTAATTGGGAACCTATTTCATGTTTATTTATTTATTTACTTTATCATATAATATATTTAATAATTTTTTGTGAATATATCGTACGATTTCATCGAGTATGTAGTGGACTGCCACCATAATGCTTTGTTGGGAATGAAATGATGTTTAGTTGAGACTGCGGCATAAATAATTGTTCTAAGTGAGGCTTTTGAGACCTAAAAATAAAAATAGAAAACAAATATATATATAAAAATGAAAGTAATCTTTATTCAAAATTATAACATTATCAAATTAACAAAATTATAAAAGTAAAAATAATAAAAAAATTAATAAAAATAAAAATAAAATACAAAAAGTTAATAATTATTTTAGATCTTATGGTAAAAATAGGAGTTTTTATACTCTTTTTAATATTCTTTATAACTAATATTCATAACTTAAATTATTTTCAGTTTTCACTATTCAAATATAATATTTTTATCACGCGTTATAATAATAAATCCAAAAGAACTCTTTATGCAAATTAAATATAAAGTACAAATTTAACGAATATTACAACAACTCCCTACTTAAATTAGACCCAACATTCTGCGAATAATCAATCTTCTTTCGATTTATACTTTACTGACCTCGTATATACACCCTATCTATTCTTCTTAATCTTTGCTGTCTTCTAAGTTCTAACGATAAATTTTCTAATGACGAAAGCCGTTTCTCTTTATGAAGATTTTTGGTTAATCTACAACCTAATATACTAGATTCTCATATCAAATCCTTGAGGCTGTTTTATCTCTCACAGCCCTTAAAATAAAAGTTAAACATAAATCTTCAATAAGAATTTAATTACAACATCAACTATTTCCTAACAATTAATTTATATTCTAATCTTATTCGCCGAATTTTTTAATTATTATATCTTAGCAAATTATTAGTTTAATATTACCTTTCGCAATTTATGTTTCTTTTTCTTTGTCATAGTTATTTCTAGTGATCAATTAATAATAATTCTAAAATCTAAAATATCATAGTCTCTATTAGTTTCAAAATTCCAATGGTTTTTAGTTTACCAGTAACTTCTAAATATAAAATTCCTAATTATCACCTTTAAATAACTAAACACAATTATATCTTAACTACTATGAATGTTTATTTGTCTTTAATTTTAGATTTTATATTCCTACATAAACATACTCTTATCAAAATAATTTTTTTTCAACCTACATCTTTAAAAACAATTTTAATTTTAAAATATAAATTTTCTTCTTTTTAGAATACTTCTCTAAATATTTTTCCTACATTAATTTATATATTTTTCTTACCTCTTTTCCGTTTTGAATTTCTTTCTCTTGTATGGAGTTTGGTTGGCGTTAGATAGATAATCTAAATCCCCTGGGACTCTCTTTTAGGTATTACTGTTGTAAGCAGCTAGTTTAAAACCTAAATTGTTTCGGCACTAATGTTATAAGTTAGTCTTCTGAGACCTAAAAATAAAAATAGAAAACAAATATATATATAAAAAAGAAATTAATCTTTATTCAAAATTATAACATTATCAAATTAACAAAATTACAAAAGTAAAAATAATAAAAAAATTAATAAAAATAAAAATAAAATACAAAAAGTTAATAATTATTATAGATCTTCTCGAATGGTTAAAATTGGAGTTTTTATACTCTTTTCAATCTTCTTTATAACTAATATTCATAACTTAAATTATTTTCAGTTGTCACTATTCAAATATAATATTTTTATCACGCGTTATAATAATAAATCCAAAAGAACTCTTTATGCAAATTAAATATAAAGTACAAATTTAACGAATATTACAACACCTCCCTACTTAAATTAGACCCAACATTCTGCGAATAATCAATCTTCTTTCGATTTCTACTCTACTGAATTCGTATATACACCCTATCTATTCTTCTTAATCTTTGCTGTCTTCTAAGTTCTAACAAAAGCTGACTCTTGTCTAGTATTCTTAATTTCGAACGACCGTTTGTATCCGATCATCGCTTGAAAATTTCGAATTCTATCTTCTGTCGCTCACCCTGGAAAAGATCAGCTTTTTATCTCTGTAGGCGACTGACGAACTTGATAAACGCCAGTTTTCCACGATCCACGCTTGATGAACGATTATCGATGAAATCCAGTTTCTTTTTCAACTTTTGTTTTTTTCTAGTCTGTCTTATCTTTTTTTACAATTTATCGTAGCTTGTTTTCTATCATTCTCTTGTAATTGATTGGTTGTTGCCTCTTATTCTTGTAATCGTATCTATCTTTTAGACTTCCGGGTCTTATACGACAGTTTGACTTTCTGAGATATCGACTCAGATAATCACATCTAATCTACTTCTACCTAAAATAATCTATTTAAATAACTTCTGAAATATTTTATCACCTTTTTATATTTATTCTAAAATATAAACTACCTAATTCAAATATACTAATAATATATATAAATATACCAACTTCATTCTAATGTTTATATTTATTTCCTCTAATCTAATTCTGCCTTTAATAAATGGCGTCAATTATACTAAATCTTAAATTTATAATACGTAGCAAAATTATATATAATATATTATATAAATATATCAAATTCTATCACCCCTTTCCCCTTAATGAAGCCTAGACCCATATTTTCATTGAAAAATTTACTTATGCGCATACTTTATCTATTGATCCTCATCTTCTTTTCCGCGATGTCTGTACTAAATTTATATCTAAAAATCCTATTCTAAAATATATATCAAAATCTTTTTTTTTAAAAAAAAATTATCATTGTGTATTTATTTCCTCATGTACTCTTTGACACTCAAGTCTTTAAAAAAAAACTGCTGAAATATATAAATCTCTTTTCATACATACTTTGTTGAGAAATCAATGACATCTAATCATAAAAGTTTTCTTACTCACGTTGATGAACAAACCTTTAACCTAATCACTATGGTTTTCACCCCACGTCTTTGAAGAACTTATGAAATCTAATCATTATAATACTTCGCACTACCGTTGTTGAAAACTGATATGTATATTTCTAAAGCATGTTTTTCCTTAAAATAAAAATCCGATCTCTAATTGAGCTCGATTGAGGCATAAATTTTCTAATGACGAAAGCCGTTTCTCTTGATGAAGATTTTTGGTTAATCTACAACCTAATATACTAGATTCTCATATCAAATCCTTGAGGCTGTTTTATCTCTCGCAGCTCTTAAAATAAAAGTTAAATATAAATCTTCAATAAGAATTTAATTACAACATCAACTATTTCCTAACAATTAATTTATATTCTAATCTTATTCGCCGAATTTTTTAATTATTATATCTTAGCAAACTATTAGTTTACTATTAACTTTTGCAATTTATGTTTCTTTTTCTTTGTCATTGTTATTTCTAGTGATCAATTAATAATAATTCTAAAATCTAAAATATCATAGTCTGTATTAGTTTCAAAATTCCAATGGTTTTTAGTTTACCAGTAACTTCTAAATATAAAAATTATCACCTTTAAATAACTAAACATAATTATATCTTAACTACTATGAATGTTACCTTTGTCTTTAATTTTAGATTTTATATTCCTACATAAACATACTCTTATCAAAATAATTTTTCTTTTTCAACCTACATCTTTAAAAACAATTTTTATTTTAAAATATAAATTTTCTTCTTTTTAGAATACTTCTCTAAATATTTTTCCTACATTTATTTATATATTTATCTTACCTCTTTTCTTTTTGAATTTCTTTCTTTTGTATGGAGTTTGGTTGGCGTTAGATAGAAGATCTAAATCCCCTGGGACTCTCTTTTACGTATTACTGTTGTAAACAGTTAGTTTAAAAACTAAAATGTTTCGGCACCAATGTTATAAGTTAGTCTTTTGAGACCTAAAAATAAAAATAGAAAACAAATATATATATAAAAAAGAAATTAATCTTTATTCAAAATTATAACATTATCAAATTAACAAAATATAAAAGTAAAAATAATAAAAAAATTAATAAAAATAAAAATAAAATACAAAAAGTTAATTTATTATTTTAGATCTTCTCGAATGGTAAAAATAGGAGTTTTTATACTCTTTTAAATCTTCTTTATAACTAATATTCATAACTTAAATTATTTTCAGTTTTCACTATTCAAATATAATATTTTTATCAAGCGTTATAATAATAAATCCAAAAGAACTCTTTATGCAAATTAAATATAAAGTACAAATTTAACGAATATTACAACAATAATATAAAGAAGTTGTTTATTAAACGATATATATCTTGATGAAGCAATATGTATAAACCATGAAACAATTATAATAAAAACATTAATCAAAATTGATTTCAAAATACAAAATAATATGTTGCTTATATAATTAAAATATTTATATTTAAATTATTACCGAAGGTAAAAAATGTCTCTAAATATATTGAAACTTAAAAAAAAATTTGAATGTCACAATTAAAAATTTATATAATTGTTTATATTTTTAATGTCATTTCCAATAAAAACTAATAGTTTAAAAAAAAGAAACAAGAAACAATTTAAACGATTTCTTAACATAATTCTTAAGATAATCCTACATATAACACTTGCTATTTCATTTGGAAGAATACCATCGTACTTTTGCAGGGCAATTAGATGTGCACAAAACTATAATGGAATTATAAGATATTACAAATATCCATTGACTATCTGGTTGCTGATATCTCTTTTTTCCAGTAATAAAATACTTGAACCAGCATTGTCTATATTTATTAAATCGCATATAGAAATATGTTTTATACCCTCATGACCACCAGCGGAGTCTTTTTGGAATAAATTTACTGTTTTGAAAAATTTTTCAGTCTTATTATTTTTAATAAAAATATTTTTTAAAACTATAACGGCCTAACATTTAATATTTTAAAGATGTTTATCTTAAGCAAACTTTAACACAATTTCCTTATTGGAAAAAGGTATTTTCATGATAAAATTATTTTATTAGTTTTGATTTGAAGAATCCCAAAGTTTTATTAGTGAATTCTATTTTATTTTGACTTAATAAATATAATATAATTAATATCTTTTTTTTAAAAAAAAAATTCAATTTTTTATTAAAATTCATATACAAATATGATAAAATATTATTATTTAAAAATTAACTAATATAAAGAATATAATAAAATATGTCATATATATAAATTTAAGTTAAAAAAAAAGATTGATACAAATGTATATTTTTAAAGAAAAAAACATTAAAAAAAAATATCGTCGGGCCATGATGTTTTAAATATTTGAGAATTAGATCTAATCATAGAAACGGCGATTTTCTGCTTGAGTTTATATAATAGAGAAAGGTATGATTTTTTTTATTGATTTGGATAATATTTTAAAGAGATCTAATGCCGCTTGTCCAAAAGAGCAGGTTGATGCTGCTATGGGAACAAAGTGGTTGTCACACATTAGGTGTGTATTTTATATTTTTTAGAGATTCGGCTCTGTTAAGGGGATCACGCGAATTATTAGATGGGGTCATGGAATCAATACAGGTAAAATCCCACATTAAAGGCTTTCCCATTAAAAAATGTACGATTGTTTTTCTGACAGGGCGTTTTTTATCTAAAAAAGATGCCGGTTCTAAAATACAGGGGAAATTGGTTTATTTAAAAAAGAAGCTATTATTGTATTTATATTATCATGTCGGCTGATTTTTGATATGAATTTTTGCATTGGAGATCGTGTTTCCAATAAGCGTCTGCTGATTGATTGCATTTAATGCAAATATAATGGTTTAAGAAAGGTACGCCCAAGCGTAAATGATTGCATATCGAAAAGCGTCGTTATCTATTGATGGTTATTTAAAATGCTGGGATTTGAATCTAACCATTCATGGCCAGAGTTATTGAAATTAAGTGATCTTAGGATGGATTTATATTAATGGTCATAGCTCAAGTTGAGGTAAGCTAAGGAATGAGATACCAATCCTTGATCCCAATCTTTTTGTTTCGTTGAATCTGGCGGGGCTGTGTTTGGTAAGACATTAATATTCCAACAACGTAAGGCTTCATCTAATAAATTATCTTTATCCATGGTAATAATTTGCGAGGTAATATTTTTTACTGATAAGGTTAATGAGATGAAGGAAACAAGGGCTATAATTAATGCCGATCTTAGGCCTTATCCTCCGGATTTACAATGGAGGTTGCTTGAAGCCATGATTTAGAATCGAGTTTTATGTTTAATAACTCTGTCTTCATTTGTAGTGTCTTTTGTTCGTCTTCTTGAGAAGAATTTCAAAAGAGAAGGTACCAGATGTTTTTAAACAATACTGGATGTGGTAATAAAAGGGCGTTTTTGAGAATCTAATATGCTTGATGGATGGGTAATTTTTTTGAGATGGATAGTTTGGAGAATAGTGATTTAAGATGATTATTTATAAAATAAAAACCTCCCTCTGCACCTCCTAATGGGGTTCCTAATATACTAAAATCTTGTAAGAGTGTCCGTTTAAAGTTATATAATATGGTGTGAGGCGGAAAAGGATAAATTTCACATTCATTTATATTTAAGGATAAATTATGTTCATCAAAGTGTTTGTTAATTATATCTAGACAATTATGGA